TAGACAAAGTGTTAGAAATTAAAATCCCATTTTTAGAGGTTTTTCGTAATTTTTTGGTGGTTTTTACAGTGGCATTAAATAACTATTGAGAAAATCAAAAAATGACCTCTCTAAGATAGTAATCTTGATCCAATTTTCTAAAAGATAAGTTACTATATGTCTATATACATGTTGAAATCGAAGCACTCCTTGTGGAAGAAATTTTGTATATGTACAGGAAAAAAAAAATAAACACCATTGTAGAACCAATAGATCCCTCAGAATCGAATATATAGTTACATGTTATAACTTTTATACAAATATTTCCTTAATTACATTAGGTACCTACTTCATTCATAGTTGATCTTAGATAGCTTTTCAACCTTAAAAAGTTTGAAAAAGATCTCTCTGGAGTGTTTGTAGATACTGGCAATGCACAAAACTACAAAATATTTGAATTAAAAATGAATTTGGTATTTTTCAACCATTTCCGGTACCCAACTGATAAAAATAATCACGATATTTATTGAAAATGTTGATATAACTATAGTTTCGAAAATTTTTTATACAATACGTAAAATCGTATGATGAAGTTTGTTTTTTAATCATGTAAAAACTGCACAACATTTAACATGTACGAGACACGAGTCAATGGGAGGGGTGGATGGATCCCCCCCCCGTAAATACGCAACTGAATCTGTGTAGTTAAATTTGGCATGCATACTATAACAGAAATAGAAAACTAGAATAAGTAAATTGCAGATCACAAAGATTTCTGTAAATGAACATACGATTTATCAATAGACCGTAAGGGTACTGAGTATAATATATAAGTTTTATGGTATGATACAATTCTACAAAAATTAAGACAGTGTCAAAAGGAATAAAACAATTTGTATTTCTGTATAGTTAAGCATGTAGTATAGGCTTATTGGGCACAAGATTTATTATAATTTTAAATTGTACCTAACTTAAATTAAATATTGATATTTATATTGTGTCATATAAGCAGGGCTTGTAAGTTCAAGCCCCAAAAATTATTAAATAAGCATGCACTTATGCCCTAAAAACTGGCAAAATAATCCTTTAAAAGTTCAGAAATATGCATTCATATGCACTCAAAATCTAAAACTATACATTAAAAATAGGTGGATTAAAAATTGAAGACATCAAATAGCAAGAATTATCTGTTCATATTCTTAATAATTTGACATAGCAACAATTCTCATACATTGAATATAGTGAAAAAATATAAATTATTGCGCTTTTCATTAAATTTTAATTTTTCCATATTATTTCAATAGAAAAATATGTATGTTAGTATAATAATATCAATATAGTAATATTAAAATTAAGAGTAATATGCCCTAAAAAATATAAAAACCTATGAATACATGTGAATAAACCTATTAAACTTCACATACTTAACCATCGTACCTTGGAATTAATTAATATTTCATCTAGCATTAAATTCACCTTAGTAAGATTGATATACAAAATACATGAACTTACAAGCCCTGCAAATAAGTTAAGATTCTAAACATCAACAAAAATATAGATGCAATAATAATTTATAAACTATTTACCTATTGTAAGGTAAAAGTATACTCTGGTTAAATCTTGATGCCCAGCATATATTTCAGTACCTACCCCCTCTTTATCACCTACATAGAATATTTAGTACATATAATTATTATTTGACTGTAAATATTTTAATTTTTGTTGTATGTGATTGATTACCATAATGTACCAACCACCCAACCCCAACCAAAAAATCCACCATGACGCCTAAGCTTCATAAAACCCCATTCACCACGCCACTGCTCTTGTTCAATGACGACTTTTTCGAGTTCTCCTCGTTTTCACTTCCTGTAAAACTAAATAACATAGACAAAAAAAAACGTGATTAGAAATAATATTTTTAAGAATTTATTATTATAGAATTACTAAATAATAATTAATATTGGCAAACAAAATAACACGGGGCGCGCTGTTGGTACAAGGTCTGGGGGGTACCGCACCGCTCAGAGTCTGGACGTATTTCTCGCGCTATTACCTATTTTACATGGCTAAATATATGCTGCTATTTTAAAGGTTCAACTGTAGTATGTAGTGTGTAAGTATAATTTTATGTAAAATACAGAGCTTAATAATAATGTGTAAACATGTCTTTGTCACTAGTAGTATATATTTGTATGTTCACAGTCCGTTTTTTGTATCACCACGGTAATTTCACAACGTTCAAGGGAGGATGTCCCCCTTGAACACAATAATTTTACCGTGTAAAAATTATGAAGAATTTACACACTTTTTACACGGTAATTTCACACCGTTCAAGGGAAGATGTTCCCCTTGTGTACAATAATTTTACCGTGTAAAAATTATGAAGAGTTTGCACACTCAAAGTCAGTTTTAACCAAATATTTACAGTGTACACGCTAAATAGTTTTTTTCTCAACATACCTTATTATTCACATTTTACATTTATGGTGGTTACACTGTAATTTATCTAATGAATGTCTTCATTTATATAATTTCAGGATCGAGTTAAGAAGCAAATAGTTGCCTATAATAGTAAAAACTTAACCAATTTAACATTCGACATTACGGTTGATCCTGATGATTTCAGATCGTATATAAAATGTAATGGAATACTACACTTTGAATATCCATATAGTATAGCACCTGTATTCGGTTTTGAAAAACGAGTATATAATCCATACAACATTCTTCGATCGGAAAAAGCTGTAAATTTAAACACAATTAATTCTATAAAAGTAATGTGTAATATAGCTCAAGGATCATTCAGCAACCATCTTCAGAGTCATTCAATTTATGAGTTTTTTCCGAGTGGAAAGACAGGGTCGAAAGTAATTCAAGCACCACCAAATTTAATATATTACAAATTGAATAAAACAAATATTGATTCGATAACCGTTCAGTTAGTTGATCAAGATCATAATCCGATTGATAATTTTGGTGAAGCATTGACAATCGTGTTACATATTAAACGTTACGGCTCTTGAGATGGGATTAAAATTCAATATAAACCCACTACTTCAGATCAGTACAACTAGTCATAAGACTAAAGTGCTAGCAGTAACATCAAATAAAATAAAAAAATTGACGGTGAAGAATAAAAAAATTTTGCAAGCTCTGGGTTATCAATTAAAGCAGAATGCCTGAAAGTGATATTTTAGATATAACTTCACAGTACGAGACGGATTCTAAAATTACGAAAATTGAATATCATTCATACGCACCGTATACAACATCATTTAATAATAATGATGAAATACGTATATCAATCCAGCAAACGGATGTTTATCCATATCTACACGAAAGCTTTATTTTTTTAGAAGGAACAATTACTGATGCTACCAAAGTGAAACTATCTAATAACGGTTACTCTTACCTCTTCGAACAAATACGATTGGAAATCAATGGGATAGAAGTAGATAGCACACGTGTTCTTGGAATCACTAGCTCGTTGAAAGGTTACTTATCCGGTACGCCAGATAACTACAATTGTTATGAAAATGCTGGTTGGAATTTTAAAAACGCAACGCAATCGGAAAATGAGAAAGGTGAATTTAGTGCTTGCATTCCATTGAAATATTGGTTAGGATTGTTTGAAGACTATAAAAGAATATTAGTGAATTCTAGATTGGAATTAATATTAACCCGAAGTCATAGTGATTTAAATGCTTTACAAGTTAAAAGTAGTGCAACTGCTACTGAAGGTAAAGTCACCTTAAATAAAATAGTCTGGAAGGTTCCACATATAACGGTTGACGATGAAGAAAGGTTGAAATTATTGAAACTTATAGAAAAAGAAAAAAGTTTGTTTATTCCTTTTAGATCTTTTGAAACTTTTGAATATCCTGAACTCGGAACCACTAAAAAAGTTGTGTGGAATTTGAAAACTGCTTCAAAATTAGAAAAACCACGATTCATCATAATTGGATTACAGAAAGGACGCAAAAATGTGTTATCAAAAGATTGTAGTATATTCGATCATTGTAATCTAACAAACGTTAAAGTATTTCTGAACTCGATAGCTTATCCATACGATAATTTGAATTTAGATTTTTCGAAAAATAATTTCACCTTATTGTATAATATGTATACATCGTTTCAAGAATCGTACTATGAAAAAAGTATTCGTAACCCGATATTGAGTCCTTCTACTTTTGTAGCAAACGCACCAATTATAGTTATCGACACTTCAAAACAGAACGATTCAGCCACAGCCTCAGCAGTGGATGTTCAATTGGAAATCGAAGCTTCAGATTCGCTTACAGGTGTAACTGCTTATTGTTTATTAATTCATGATCGTATTGTAGAATATGTACCTTTTACTAGAGAAGTAAGAAAACTTGTGTAAATATATTTTAGAATTAATTTACAATAATAAAAAATCTATTATTTCATAACTTGTGTTCTGTATTTTAAATAATTATTTCATTTTAGTAATAAGGTTTGTTGAGAAAAAAAACCATTTCGTGTGTACACTGTAAATATTTGGTTAAAACTGACTTTGAGTGTGCAAACTCTTCATAATTTTTACACGGTAAAATTATTGTGTACAAGGGGAACATCTTCCCTTGAACGGTGTGAAATTACCGTGTAAAAAGTGTGTAAATTCTTCATAATTTTTACACGGTAAAATTATTGTGTTCAAGGGGGACATCCTCCCTTGAACGTTGTGAAATTACCGTGGTGATACAAAAAACGGACTGTGAACATACAAATATATACTACTGTCACTGTTAAAAATATTTACTTATGCGAATTGCACTTTTAATTCTCGTAGTGCAATAGAAGGAGAAAAAATATTAAAAAGCAAACAGATTGTATTATGTGGTAAAATTGAATGGTAAATATGACATCTGCTATGTTTATGTAATTACAAATTTGATGTAAATAATATTAAGTAGGTACTATGAAAATATTTTGGTTTTTAGGCTAGTTTCGCACAAATTAGTGCATTAATTGTTCTAACATCACATTTACAAGATATGCCCCATTCAATTTTTGGTGAACTAACGAAGCCTGAAGTGGAAATTATAAAGTTCAAATGCAGTTGCAAAGCAGGAGCTTCTGAGTGCTGTAAGCACGTTGTTGCAATACTTTTGTTTATTAACAGGTAATTGTTTGCATTTTTATTCAAAATTTTAAACATGCATTGGAACTTAGAAGCAATAATTCAAGTTTCTTAAACAAAAAAATTACTTTCAAATGGAAAAAAAATCAATTATTTTGACATTTATTAAAAGTAAATGTTTTAAAATATTTTTAGTTTAAATGGAATTCAATATAACATTGAATATTACATGTAGTTATCAATTAGGTACCTACCATTGTTAATTTCAGAAATTCAGTTGCTGATTTGGAAATTTTTTCATCAACTGACATAACATTTGACATTTCAGTGGTCAAAATTAAAGGAACCTACGTTAACTCATTATAAACCTTTACCAATTGATACATTTGACTGTTATAAAAAAAATGTTGTCGATTCAAATTCTGTTGACGATGATGCAGATACAATTAGGTGATATGTTTATTTTAATTTATAAATTAATAATTACTAAAAAAACAAATTTTAGGTCAAGATTCATAGCTGCTGCACCAACTTCAGCAATTGCTCTTCATTCCTTGGGTCGTAATTTGCCAACTAACCAATCATCAGTGATATTGGCAGAAAACACACAGCTGTCCAGGTTGAATGTGTCATTGCATCCTTTATCAGTGTATTTGCAAAACTACCCAGTCATGAATATGGGTGATTGTTGCAAGGAATCATTTTCTAAGTTATCAACTGATTTTTATGAAGTATTATATCGATCTCAAAAAGACAAATCTTTTTGGGACCATTGTCGGCAGTACAGAACCACAGGAAGTCGATGCTAGGGCTGTATACCTTTAACAAAACTTTCAAAACAGATGAACAATGGGCTTTGAAAGCCAGACGATATTTTTGGCCGAAACTATTCACAAATAAGTTTGTTAAATATGGTTTACAATATGAAAACATCGCCAGAGATTTGTATTCAAAAGAATTTAATACAAATATTTTAGAGTGTGGTTTAGTGATTGACGTTAACAATCCTTGGTTAGGTTATAGTCCAGATGGAGTCATCATTGATGAATATTTTTTACCCATTAAAATTATAGAAATCAAATGTCCTTTTGATGGTAAAAAACTTGGAATAAAAGATCTTTTAAATAGTTTAAAATACATTGTAAAACACCCAAATGGTTCATTGAGTTTAAAAAAAAACCATTGTTACTATGCACAAGTACAAATGGGCATTGTTTTATTAAATGTTAAGGAATGTGACTTTATAGTACACAGTAGCTATGAAAATAAAAATGCAGTGTTAAGAGGACGCTACACCGAAAGCGAAACGTATACAACGACCGAGAGAACGCGCTGTTAGGTGTTTTCGCGATCCGCAAGCACGCGACGCTTAAGCCGCGCCCACTACTCACAGTCGGCGGCAGGCCGACAATTTTGCTCAATCGGGAGCGATGTTTATTATTTTATCAACCTTCGTCCGTGGCGGATCACGTAAATATAAAATGCATACACGTATATTATACCGCATTACCGCCGTAATATTTTTAATATTCGAGCGTACCTATACGCGGCTTATACATATTTATTGCATTATTAACAGGCACGGCGCCAAGGGGGGGGGCTCTAGCCCCCCCAGAAAACAGATCAGCCCCCCCACTGAAAAATATGTACGATATAATTAATGTTTGTTGTATACAGTTAAAAATATTTTTAGTTGACTTATTATTTTAAATATGTTTATGTTTGATTAACACAATACTATTGTGTAAGGAGTTGGTATTCGTACCTACCTACTTATATTAGTTTAGTAATTAGCATGACAAATTTCTTATTTCAAATAATTAAATAATTTATTCAATTTTCTTATTTTGTTATTTTTATAATCTTATTTGTCATGGTAATTAGTTCACATATTACTTGATAATTAATAAAAAAAGATTTCTTAAAATATCTATGTTTTAATGTATATATATGAACTATTTTAACCTCCAAAATTTAACAAAAAATATAAAGTAGGTACCTACTTCAATAGTCAATACATACACTACTATGCAAATACCAATTTAAAAATGTATTGAATTAAAAATTTAAAATGTACTAGTTAAATATAAGGTAGGCAATCAAAAGTTTTTATTTAAAACAAATTGTATTCCTACTGATATCAGTGCAATTGTATACATTTTTGTTAACTTTTTCAATATTAAAAGATTTTCAATCATTTACTGTATGGTGCATAAACAGATATTCTATAAAAAATCAATATTTAGCTCATAAATAAATTATTATTTTTGTATATCATATTATCATTATGAATATAGTTGTTGAAGGTCTTAGGTCTGTGATTAAACATTTTCTTACATATTACATAAGGTACAAAAAAAATATTTGATATTATTCTTAAAACATTTTTAACTATTCAAAAGTTTGTAAATATTATATGTTTAGACGTTTAGAGCATACTATATAAAACGATTAAAACGTATGTACTATATAGCTAATAGCTATATTATGTTATATGATACGAAAATATTTATATTTCATTTAAATAACCTCAGCATTTGTTGAAACAATTTTAGCCCATGTAAAAAAAATATTTGCCCCACTCTGCCCCCCTGGAAAAAAATTCTAGTGCCGTGCCTGATTATTAAATACTTACTTCGTAAAAAATGTATTCAATACAGTAAATAATATCTAATATATAACTGTAACCTAAACTAGTATTACCTAAATATCTAAATATTATATTTTAGTAGGTTAATTAATTGAATATATATTATTTTATGTTATACTGTTACCACATAGGTATATTTTTTAAATTACATTTCTTGCGTATCTCTAACATTTCTAAAACATTTTTGACACATCAGTCACCTATTATTATTTATAAGGTTCTACCTTTCTACCTATCCTACAATAATTTGAAACCTACGATTTACTAATAAGTAATAACAAAGATATTATGAATTACGCGTGTATTCGATAATATTATATTTATTAGTTTGTAATTAATAAATAAAACTCTTGTTTACTTTAATATGCATACCGATACCAATACAACAAAACAAAATTTTTTGAAAGGAAATAAATTGGTTATGGAAATATAATTAGATACAGTTCATAATTCAAGTAATAACTAATAAAATTAGGTATTTCTTATTTTACATATACATATATTGATATGTATATATTATATTATACTGTATTACTGTAGACGTGTAGACTTACCAGTTACCTATCATATATGTAATAAGTATCTTTAAAATTTAAATAAATAAAAAAAAACACGTTTCACATTTATTAAAAATATTATAGAATAATTGATGAGATTAAAGGTCACATTTTTTTAAAATTATTATTAGTTGTGGTCATAATTTTAATAATACGCTCAGGCTCTTTGATATCGGACTTCAACATTCTTATTGGATAAAGTGGTTGAATTATTTCAGGTAGCATACAATCCATATAAAACCTAAAATTATAAACAAATTAAAAATGTACTTACTTATAATATTATTAAGTTAGGTCAGATAATAAATTACATTTTTAATTTTTCTGCCATATTAGAAGTCCAAAATTCTGGTTCATAATAAATTTTTTCTACCGTAATCCAATTACTGGTATATATTACAAAATAGCATAATTTTCTGCGGGTAATATGCAACTGGCCCATTACTTGATAATAATAAATATTATCTTTTTTAAGTTTTGTACAATTATCTACTATGTTACAATATGGCAACTATAAAGTTTAAAAAAATGAAATTGTAAAACTACTGGCTTAAATTATACGCAATGATTATAATAATATATAAACAACATGACTTACTAATTTTTTGTAATAGCATCTATTGCACTTGAAGTGTCTTTTGCAATATATGGACATTTAATTTCAATAATTGCCGTTTTACCAATCAAGCCATCTATATAATATTAGACCCGATATATTTTAAATTGCATACGTAAATTAAATTATAAAAACATAAATAATATAATATAATACCTAATATTCAAATATTTTACCTGGACTAGCTGCTAAGTTCATTTTTTTATCTTTTCTAATTTCGTTACTCCAATTATATTTCTCCAATGTATAACTGCTTTTGTGATATCACTTCTAAATCGTAAAATATTCGATAGAATATATTTTCAAATACGGAGTGGGTATTTTGTGTTTCTAGCAATCACTGTAAGTTTGGTGGCATAGTTTCGCATCAAATGATTTCGGCACTCAATTTTCCTTATGTGAAAATTGGGACCGTACGGTTGAATTTAATTTAAGCGTTTAGTCACACTGCTGTCCCCATCACCTATTACATTTTTAAATGCCATATTTTTTTTATTTTACCAAGTATTTTTTTTAAATTTTTTTACCTATTAAACAATTATACTTTAATCCATGCATTTCCTCGCTTTTCATAAATCCTTCAACCACGCCATCGGCCTCCATACTTGTTGAGGACTTTTTCCAATTGAGGAAGCATTGATGATCAGGTGCGACTTTTTTACTATTTTTCGATTTTTGGCAAATACAACAATATTTATTGCGTATTCCAACGAAAAGCACTTTTTTAGATTTAAAACCAATTATCGTAGCCTAAATGAAATAAATAAGATTTGGTTTAATTATCATTATTACCAAACTATATGTATATACTATATTAGGATATATTACCAAAATATGTACTAACGGTAAAAAAAAATTAAACATACAAACAAAACTCTAGCCTCATAGGCGTGCGCACGGGAGGGGCAGGGTGGGCAGCTGCCCCTCCTGCGGGCTCAAGTTTTCTTACAAAATAACAAAGTTTTTAAAAAAATATTATAATACAGTTTTATATAATGAATATTATGTAAACATTGAGTGCTCGATGTACAGTGCACGATGATTTTATGTTGTCCAACTTTAAGCGAACCACAAGCGATACCGCGGTGATAACGAGTGCTTATAATCTTATTATAGCATGATGTAGATTGAGATGTGATGAGACATGAAAGTGAGTAGTAATTTGACGGCATTTAATGCGAAAAACGTTCACCGGAAGCGCTAAGAAGGTCGGTTCTTTAAATAATTAGTAATTAATAATTATAATAATTAGTATGCAGTATACGAACAAATATTATAGCTCTTTACTTCCGAAGCAATTTTCGGAATTTTTAGTATTTTAGTATTTTTATGCTCAACGTGTTGATTAAATCAGAATATACCTATCTTTTTTTTTAATGTGGTGTTTTATATTGAAATTAATTTTCTATTTATACTGTAACCTACAAATCAAATTGTTTATTATATACCTAATACTATTAAATACCTATAAAGTATAATTTATAAAACAGTTTAAATAATAGGTTACATGCCTACAATAATGTATAAATTTCAATATTACCAAAGAATAGAATATTATTGATACATTAATGCATGATATAATAGTGGTACTATTTTTGGAAAAATCATACTAAGGATTTACATTTTTTTTTAAATGTTGATATTTATATGTTCAACGTGTTGGTGCAAATAATAATTTACCTATCTTACTTACTTTTTTTGTAATTGTAAATAAATAGTAAGTAGAATTAGTAAATTCAGATTTCACCAACACATCAGGCATAAAAATATATATGAATGCAGTGGCGGATCCAGGGCTTAATTTTGGGAGGGGCATGGGGGGCTCAAAAGTATATGAAAGTTCCAAAATTGGCTAAACACAGTGTAAAACAAAGGAAAACTACGGTTATTGGGGGGGGGCAAATGCCCCCTTTTCCATCCCCCTGGATCCACCACTGTATGAATGTAATAATTTTCTTTGTTCATGTATATTAATATAATATAAAAAAACTTTGGAGTTTCAATTACTATATTAAATTTGTAGTTATTTGTAGTTTTAATGATACATAAAATGAAAATACTTCCATCACTTACATTAATTGAACTAATAACCAAAATAATATTTACTTACCTATATATTATATAATATACCTATAGGTACATTATTACATTCTGCCCCCCCTGCCAGCAAGGTCTGCGCACGCCTATGTCTAGCCTACTTACTGCTCCGGATAAGGCGTCGTATTTTGTCCGATAGCTGCGTTTAGACCACTGCCCATCTGCGATCTGCAACAACTGTGATGACTGGTGTGCCATCTACGTCTATATCACCACACTCCAACGCCATTTTTTTTTCTTCCTCACCAGCTTTTTTTATTTCATCCCATGCTGTTTCATGCACAATATCAGCTACGTTTTCTTGTACTTTCGTATAACCACTAATCGATAACGATGGGATTTCAAGAAATGAAAACAATTCCGACAGCTGTGTGTGACCAATACCGATTGCTTGACAGCCGTGAACAGTTGCTTTATTAATTGGGACTTGTACTGTTTTAGGATTTTCTGTATAAAGTTTACTTTTGATGTTACACACTTTACATTTGAATGTTAAAATTGACTGAAATCCTACAAATGTTTCTTTCTGATACTCCATGTCAATAAATGAACAACCGAACCCACCACTGTGTATCTTTTGGATTTGATTGATAAAGTGCAAAATATCAATAATTCTTCGGCCCGTTAAAGGCCTGTGAATTTAAAAAAAAAAACAAAAAATAACATAGTTGAATAAATGTTTTACAGTACCTAAGCCTGGAATTAATAATAAATATATATTATATATACATAATATATTAGTTAGTTTTTGAAATATTTATAAACATATGATTTAAAATGAAAAATTCGCATTTTTTCCCTAATAAAATGTTTTTATATAAAAAATCTCGAAATTCCAAATGTGTTATCTTTTACAAGTTTTTAAACCATGTTGATCAAATTCATCAAAATTGGCAAAAACTATTTGGGTAATTACAAATTTATTGAAAGTTTACATTGTCAAAACGTATAGGTACTGCCTATACAATAGCTTGAGTGAGTTCCTTGGCATCTTTTTTGTTTTAAGTGATTTTATTGCTTTTAAAAATATTTATTAGTCAATCATAAACAGTATATTATAAGTTCTAGTAAAAAATTAAAATTAAATTAAATTGCATAACACTAGTTTTTTCGTACACACTTACTCGGCAGTTGTAGTATCTTCCGATGATAAACCATCTTCAGATGCAGTATACATAACACTTAGGTTATGGTCAGAAATATTGTTGACTGTTGTCTCTACAATATATTATACACTATTATAAAATATTATGTATAGGTATGGTTATTATTAAAATTGTAAAAATTGGTTGTACATATACATTACATCAAAATCACTTAATCACCTATACGGCTATACCATAATGGTATTATTCACTAGGTATAAACTTACCAATTTAAAGGACACGATTCTTGGTTGTTTATTGAATCTACACTAATCGATGATACGTTTAGACTTCTTCTATTAGGCAAATCCGCAGATGGAAAATCATTTATAAAATAACAAATAGTAATAATATATAGATAGAAATATGTATTATTAAATTAATTTAACTGTACTTACTCTGAAAATTCACTATACTCTGGACTCGTTACGTCTATATTCCTAAATAATCATATATACTTGTTAAATAGTGATATTTTTAACAATTTTTAATAAAGTAATTATTTAAGAGGACGCTATATCCGCATGCGTTGTCTCCGTCTTTTATTTTTATTCAATTGTTGTTGTTGCACAGATAAAGTTCTTCTTTATGTGTTGTGAAAATTTGGTAGCTCTACAACAAATATGGTGCGAGAAAAGTTGTCCCACGCAAAACACTTTTTATAATCAAATTACGAGTGGTGTAGCGTCCTCTTAAAAGTTACACTTGTATTTTAGATTCTGAGTGAAACGATGAATGTATTGATATTACAATGATGTGTGTTTTTTTAGATTCTGAGCGGAGCGATGAATGTATTGGTTTTACAATGATGTGTGTTTTTTTTTTTTATATTTTTATATTTTTTATTTTTTTTTTGTGTCTGTCATCACGTTTTGGGACAGTAAAAGTGCTTAGATTTTCTTCAATAGTACCTTTTCTGATAGGAAAGTGAATCTAGTTGGTACTTTGGGGGGTCAAAAGTAAACATTTCCCAGTAGTTTTCACAAGCGCCGGGAAAAACAACATAAAAATTAAGGAAAAACGGGAATTTTTACGCAAAATTGGTTTTCCAAAAAATCGATTTTGGTTTTTGGTGTAACTCTAAAACAAATGAACGTATATACATGGAATTTTCACTGGTTGTTTATATTTGCATTTTCTATACACGATAACATTTTCAAAATATTTTGATTTATTTTGAACTGTTTAAGGACATTTTCATTTTCCATTTTTTTTTAGTTTTTTTTCTAAAAATAGCAATACAATTTTATTTGTTGGTTGCGAAAGCTTGAAAATTTAATAGAAGGCTCCTAATATATTGTTTCAAAGGCAGATGAAAAATATTAAAAATCCTTATCACAATTTTTTTTTATAAGCATTTAAAGTTCAAAAATTGTAAAAATATGGAAAAATCACGAAAATTAACGAATTATTTTGAGTTAAGAATTCGTAAAAATTTTTCTTTTTAAATCTAAGATTTGAAAATTTAATACAAGATTACTCATAAGTTTGTCTACCTTTATCAATAAAAAAATCTCTACCGGAATGTCAAATTAAATTTTTATGAGCGTTTGAAATTCAAATTTTTACAACATTGGATGTTCACTCGATTTCTCATGTAGCGATTTCCTTATTTTGTTGTAATTCAAAAACGAATAACTGTAGATACATGAAAATTCACTGAATGTTTATATTAGCATTTCCTATACACCATACAATTTTGACTCTTTTTGAGCTGTTTATGGACATTTACAGCTTTCAATTTTTTTAGTTTTTTTTTCTATAAATATCAATAAAGTTTTATCTGTTGGGCCAAAAAGTGTAAAAATTTAATACAAGGCTCCTGATATATTGTTACAATATCAGTTGAAAAATATTAAAAATACATAGGCACAGTTTTTTTTTATAAGCATTTAAAGATCAAATTTCGACAAAATTTATCAAAATCTCGAAAATTATCAATCATTATTGTAATTAATAAATTATAAAATGTTCAGTTTTTATAGCTAAGGATTGCAAATTCAACACAAAGGTTCTCGTAAATAGTTCATACTGTAACCAAAAAATCTAAAAAATTATATATGAACACAGTAATTTTTTACAGACATTTTAAATTCAAATTTGGACGAAATTACATATTAAAAAACCAAAATAACTATTTTAGTTATTTTGTTGTGATTGAATAATATTATTCGTGGATACTTGAAACTTCTAAAGTGTACTATTATATATCTATGATAGTATCACGGTTTTTGTTGATGTATAACGCGTTATAAATACCTAATGGATATTTTGATATGATTAATTTTGGAATTTATTATAGGTACTTACCTATTATAGGTCAAATTTTGGTTTAGTACCATAGATATGTATAATGTATATAATATGTCTTATACCTAGACAGTCATTACTATATCGAGGGGCCATGGTGCAAGTGCTGTCCATAAATATCAGCTACATTAGAAATACAAAATTAATATAACAGTGAATTATAAAAAAATATTACGAAATGTACCATACTCATATTATATTATGATTGTATTAGTAAAGTTACAAACTCTTAAATTAAGAGTACGATTGAGGATTTAATTAATTTCCTAAAAGAAAATGCCTCAAGGTTGCCTCTGTAGGTCGAGGAACCCCCCTTCAATTTTTTTTTTTTTAGTTATTTAAATCTAGTTTAATATTTTGTTTAGATTTGAACGTTGATAACCTGCATTGGCCCCATGAATCATCTTTCTTTAATGATCTTATCATTTGAATAGTTTTTTCTGTTAAGTTTCTGGACATTTTAGTTTGAACTCTTTCATGTGTGGTCCTATTGTTTAATTTCATCTAATTTTTTTTTTGTTTTCTAAAACGCATTTGTCTTCGGGCGCCAACACCCCCCTTCAATTTTTTTTTTAGGAATTTGAGACTAGTTGAATTTTGATAACTTGCAGGTGCCCTCTGTATTGAAATTCTTAAACGAGCTAGGTAATCATTGTCGATTGTTTTTTCTGTTTATGAATCTGAAGATTGTAGTTTGAACTCATTGATAAGGGGTTTGCCTACTGTATAATTTTTTCTAAATTTTTTTTGTTTTTCTAAAATGCAATTGCCTGCGGGCGCCAACACTCCCCTTCAATTTTTTTTTAAGGAATTTGAGACTAGTTGAATTTTGATAACTTGCAGGTGCCCTCTGTATTTAAATTCTTAAACGAGCTAGGTAATCATTGTCGATTGTTTTTTCTGTTTATGAATCTGAAGATTGTAATTTGAACTCATTGATATGTGTTCTGATTGTATATTTTTTTCTATTTTTTTTTTTGGTTTTCTAAAATGCAATTGCCTGCGGGCGCCAACACTCCCCTTCAATTTTTTTTTTAGGAATTTGAGACTAGTTGAATTTTGAAACTTTGCAGGTCCCCTCTGTATTGAAATTCTTAAACGAGCTAGTTAATCATTGTGGATTGTTTTTTCTGTTTATGAATCAGAAGATTGTAGTTTGAACTCATTGATATGTGTTTGCCTACTGTATAATTTTTTCTAATTTTTTGTTTGGTTTTCTAAAATGCAATTGCCTGCGGGCGCCAACACTCCCCTTCAATTTTTTTTTTAGGAATTTGAATCTAGTTGAATTTTTTGTACAGACTTGAAAATTGATAACCTGCATGGTGCCCTATGTATAATAATTCTTTAATGAGCTAATCATTGTCAATTGTTTTTTCTGTTTAATAAATTAAATTGTTTAATTATTTAATTTAATTAATTATTAAATTGTTTAATACATTTTTTAAATTTTGACCATCTATCTCATTGAGATTAGAGTTTTAGCGGTTATAGAGTCATAGAACATTGATAGAGTGGACCTCTAATCTCTATTCGTTATAAAAATTATTGTTATTTGCTGTTATCATCAGTTGTAGTTATCTGTAGTTTTCTACCCCAATCCCGATCGTTGAATGTAGATTGATAGTAGGATTTTTGATTACACGAGCAAGGAGCTACCGCGTGGTCGAAAACTCGAAACGAGAAACATGTCAATAATCAACAATTTCGTCCTGCGTTTAATGGTTACCTCCTGTAAATTATAATCCATAATATATTATTCTCAAGTCTATAGTGACTAGTGACTGCAACAACTGACTAGGTAGTTACTAGTTTATTTTACTGTCTTCGGTCGGAACGACGTCGTGAAAACATTAACTGGAAAAATGTCTGACTCTGAACACGAAAGTGAAGACGAAATGGTCGTCGAGGATGAAAATGACGAAGCCGGCGAATCTTCTGGGGCAGCTATTAAAAAAGAACCACGACAAGTTTACTTACCAGGTCATCAGATGCAGGAAGACGAGTCGTTGGTATTCGATCCATCTGCTTACCACATGCTGCATGATATCGATTCTGGTACATTTTATCATTTAGGAATTATATAATTTGTTAACTTCCATACTTATTGTTCTAAAATATAATTATCTATTTCCCATGTAAACCATCAGGGTTGCCGTGTTTGAGTTTTGACGTGATCATTGATGACATGGGTTGTAACCGTAGCGACTTTCCACATTCTATGTATTTGGTTGCTGGAAGCCAAGCAGAAAAACCTAAAGACAATTGTGTGTTTGTTATGAAGGTATACATTTTACTCAACATCCCTTAAATGTCAACTGCAAACACTTAACATTATATAAATTATTATTAGTGTTTTGATTGAGAAATTGTTTTATTATATTATGCTACAATTATTTGTTTTAGCTATCAAACTTAAATGCGATTAAAAATGAAGAGAGTAGTTCATCGGATGATTCAGATGTTGAGTCTGACAGTGATGATGATGAATCTAAAGATCAACCTGTGTTGCAGATATCATCAATTCCTCATTTGGGCACTGTTAACCGAATTAGGGTAAATTACTAAAATTTTGTTTTATACATTTTAACATTAAAGGCATGGATTGTGGTATAATGAAGACTATGTAGTCAGCATTATTTATTTTACAGCTATTACTCTACAAAGTATATAATAAGCACAATAGTTGCTTACAAACAAGTACAAAATATATTTATTTATTCATTTAACACTTATTGGATTTTAAAATTGCATAACATACTACATTTCTCTTATTCTACCTTCATAAGCGGTATACTTTATTATCAGATATTTTTTCTGTACCAAATGATTTAACATATTCTTACAAAATACTACATCCCATTGTTTGAAATCAAATTCTCTACAAAATGTATAAAATAATTTTTTTTTTTTTAATGTTTATAGAATACTACAGTTGATGACAAAGTATATGCAGCTGTATGGTCGGAAAGAGGAATTGTCAATATTTATGATTTAAATAGTAAATTGAAAGATGTTGAAAAAGCTAATAGAAATCGTAAAATTGGAAGTGAGGAAAAGAAAAAAAAGTATGGTAAAGCTGCTCCCAAGAGAATACTGTCTGAACATAAACCTTTATATTCATACTCTGGGCATAGAGATGAAGGATTTGCTTTAGATTGGTCTTCCAAGGCTCCGGGTATAAATAAAATCCTTTATAATATAAAAAAAAAATTAAATATTAATTCATTTTTTTTATTTTTAGGATTTTTAGCTAGTGGTGATTGTAAAGGAAATATTCATACATGGAAACCAAGTGAAAGTGGTTGGGTTGTTAATTTACATTCATTAGGTGGACATAAAGAATCTGTTGAAGATTTACAATGGTCTCCAAATGAAGTTAATGTGCTTGCTTCTTGCTCTGTAGACAAATCGTAAGTAAATATAATACACTTTTTATTAGCAGTATAAAATATGATCTACAGCTTAATACTTATTTTTATTTAACAGGTTAAGGATATGGGATACACGATTAGCACCAAATAAAGCCAATATGTTGACAATTGCTGACGCTCATGATAGCGATATTAATGTCATAAATTGGAACAAAAAAGAACCATTAATTGTTTCTGGTGGTGATGATGGAAAACTTATGATTTGGGATTTGAGACAATTTAAAGTATACATTTTTATATCTTATAATTTAACGTAAAATATGATTCTAATAGTAATTTATTGAATTAGAAAGGTAAAGAACTAGCTGTTTTCAAACATCACACTAGTGCTATTACAACAGTTGAATGGAGTCCAGATGATAGTTCTGTGTTTGCTTCTGGTGGTGAAGATGATCAAATAGCAATTTGGGATTTAGCTGTTGAAAGGGATACTACCAATGACCAAGATGACATAAAAGTATAGAATTTAAATTAATTATTTAAAAAAAATATATTTTTATTAATTATAAATCATTTATAATGAAAAACTTCATATGACGAATATGGGAACTTTTCATTTTAAGTAATTTTCTTGATTTTTATAGAAAATAATTTGAGTATAAAATATGAACTCATCTCTAAAAAATAACTGAATACACACTCATGAATGATAAAAAGAAATATACAAAATAAAATTTAAATTAATATGAACTCTTTGTATGATGAAAACATTTATTTATCTCTTAGCTATGTTTTCAAACATAATATAAAATAACATGCTATCTTCTAGAAGCCTCTAAAGGTACTTAGTCATTAATACATTGTCTCCATATTCCATGTAATCTGCGTGGTTGACAATATACCACAATCTACTAAATAGTTGAAAATATTCAACTACTCCACTGTGGGTTATGTGTTTATTTAAATGTAGTTATTAATGACTAGTAAAATTGTTTTACCTAATTAATATTATTTAATTTGGTGAATTATAAGAAATGTGTACCACTGACCACATAGGATACGGTGACAATATAATGCTACCTTAACCCTATACTCGGTCTCAGAAGAGAACAATCACTTTTTGCACATTGTGAATGGTGCGATTGACAAGTTGAGAACCACGTGATCATGCTAACACCGGGTCGTTAGTGGGAGATCAAGTTATTATTCTCTTTTGTGACAGAGTATAGAAACAATCAGATATATACCCAGTGTTGTAAAGTATTCAAATACTTTTTTTTTACCATTGAATACTATTTTATTGAATCCTTTTTTTTAAATTTTTTATTCTTAATTTGTTTCTACTTATAATTATTCTTGTTAAATTAAAATACCATGCCGTCTTGGTTTTGCTTTAACATTATAACAATATAATATTATATATTTATCATTTATACCTTACCAACAAATTGGTATTAGTTTTCGTCAATTAAATGTTTTTTTCTCTATGAGACAGATGATCAAAAAAATACATCTGTAGTCGGTATCATTATTAGCTTAAGTGAATAACAAAATATATATTTAAAAAGCGGGGTAAAAAACTTCCACTTAACCGCTATTATACTTTATAGTTTATAGCAGGGCTAGATTGGTATGTATCGGCCCATCGAGATTTTCACTTCTATAAACAGCCCATTTACATATTCAGTCGCCTAAAATTACGTCTATAATTATTACGAGCTTACAGGTGGCCAATCGTATTTTTAACATGAATTTATTTTCACTTACACACACACGACCGGCCCACCGAGATTTTCTCGGTAGCTCTCCTAACCAATCCGGCTCTGGTTTATAATTCATTAACTATACGAAAATATTATTAATAATTATTAGTACCTACTGGCTACTACCTATTTACAAAGAAAATGGTTATCAATAATTATCATTATCGTTTATCGTCGACGACGATCAATGACGGTATGAGATATCCAAATACATAATATAGCTTTAAATTAATATATAATAACTCTGTAGAGAAAAGTTCATTGTTGTGGTGCAACTAACATGACTAATCAGAATTTTGATTATTGAACGAATCATGTTTTTAAAATGCAATAAACAAATTTTTGATTATAACAAATTATTTCAGAACTAAACAGTAAAAAGAATTTTTTTTTTGTATTTGAAAATTATTTCAAATACTTTACTATTTATAGTATTTGGGTGGTATTTTAAATACTTTTAAATACTTTATTTTAAGAGTATTTGAGTAATTACTTAAATACTTTTAAAAAGTATTTTTTACAACACTATACCCATAAAATATAAATAAAATATGTTGAGACAATGTATAGATACATTACTACTGTAAAGTGACGCCATATAATAGAACAATAAGCAGTAACTTACTTCTGTAATAACAAAGTAGACTGTAGATGGGCTTAGCATTGCCGAGCCAGATAGGGCCCACCTGTGATTCTCGATATGCTTATACTTAATAGTGATATATTAATATTATAATTTAATTTTTGAGGTCCACTAGAAGTGTTTTTATATTTTAAATGTATTTAACTAATTATTTGATAATGTTAAATGTTTGATTATTTTATCTAGGAAATTCCACCACAGCTTTTGTTTATTCACCAAGGACAAGAATCTATTAAAGAGCTTCATTGGCATCCTCAAATTACTGGAGTTCTTATAAGTACTGCACAAACCGGATTCAATGTTTTCAGAACCATAAGTATATAAAAAAAAATATAACGGTTAAAAATATATTTAGTACTTACTACTATATTACAGTTATTTTTTTTTAATATACAATATACATACATAATACACACAATATAATATTCATAATTATATATATTTTTTTTTTGGAATGATTCTGTTTCTTTATTTGATGGCTAACAAGTTTTCCTTTTTTACACTACAGTGATTCATATAAGCTAAAAATGAACTCCAAGCTAGACTGCATAGACTAACAAATGGAATCCTATTTTTTTCTGGAATCATTGTATAATTGAACACCTGTAGTAAAGGCCAAACCGCTACACCCACCTGTTTTGTAAAATAAGTAGAAAATAAATTTATTACCACATAATATTATAATAACTTCACAATGAATTTACTAAATTAATTAATGCAACTTTTAAAATATGACTACAAAACATTAGAAAAATTGGTTTATTATTTAAAAAATACAAATATGTTTAAACATTTTGTAACTATTATCACTCAATTAATCAGTTTAAAATAAATTTATAATTCTGTGGTAAGTTCACTAAAGATCTGTTCTAGTCATTTTTTTTATTTTTTTTTTTGAAATTGTATGCTGATGTATTATACTGTACATAATGTGGTAAAATATGGTGTATATTTGCATTCACTATCGATTATCATTATTCAATAAACAAATCCAAATAATTTTGAAATCATAGAGCAAAATTTTATATTGATTTTTATTAAGTTGGGAAAGTGATGTTAAATATGACCATCTTAATAAATTTACACTAGATATCAATAGTCAAATCAAAATTATTCCTTGTTTGTTACTTTAAGTACATATTATTATATTAATACAACCTGTAGATTTTAATTACATAAATATATGTTGAATCTTAGCTTTTGAAACGCCACAGAAAAATAATCAATTGTGATTTCAAAATTATAGATTTTATAGCAATTATATCACTAGAATACTGGTTCTTGTATATCGGTAAAATGAAAAAAATGTATTTAAGATCACTAAAATGTATTGTATGGTTATGACTTATTACAGAAACGCTGTCTCATAACTTCAGATTTATGTTTATACTGTTTTCAGTAACTGAGTATAATGATGAATTCAAAAAAAATCTCTAATTTTTATAAATTCCTACTTATCTTGATTTAAATATTTTAAGTTGCGTTTTATTGTTGTTTAACAAAAACTATATTATATTATGTTTTGGTGGCCATTAACAAAGATCATCAAATTTTGTACCTTATATGTCGGTAAAAACTTTTTTTCTACTTCTTTTTTAGCTTCCTCGACCGTCTTCCCCTCCAGTAAAGACATACCAAAATAAAAGCTCACCATTGCACAAGGTGAATACGTTACTTGCTCCAAAAGTGCCTGATAAATATTAATTTCGATATTATTTGTATAATTTGTTAACTGTTTGGGTGGGTGGGGTTGAACCTTGTTATCTCACTTTTATGATTGCGCTACGGAGATCATTCTTTGGATATAAGTAACGTGCAACAGTTAGCCATGCATTTAAAGTCGGTGCCACATAAAATGCTCCAAACAGTCCAAACCGAGCTGCCCTGGCAAAGTCAAATTTTTCATCTCCAAAAGCCATTTGTTGTATAAGACATCCGGTTGGCCATATCACTGCATACGAAACCATTCCCCTGGTAACTGGGTAGGCGATTGAAAACTTTACCATTCGGGCGAAGACGGTCGTCATTTTCGAAGTTAGTTATTTTTCACGCGGGACCTACAGCAATATTGTGACTGCATGATGGTAGGAAGCTCTCATTATTTTTGTGCGGTGTTATTATTTATAGATATGATGGTGGTTGCCAATTACAAAATTGGGTGATCTTGAATAAACCTTGAAACTGACCATTGCCAAAATTGTAAGTATATACACTGTATAAGAATTATTATATAGGTACCTACATATGTTGTTATTATTTTTTGATTTTAAAATATCTAAATTTGCGAAATTGTATACGAAAAACAAATTGTATAATATTAATCAGATATATAGGTTGCTACCGTAGGTACCACGAAAATACGCATAATATAATAATAAAATACAAATTCTTAAATATTAACTTTTACTTTTAATAAAATGCCTACATGTTTGATGAATCAAAACAAACGTTTTGAATTTTAAGTACCTAGGTATTTACTATCCATGATATGATTATAATTTATAAGTATAATATATATCAATATCATCATCAGTTATAAACTCAAATTATTATCTCCGAACGAACAAAAACAGTGAAGAATAAAACACTAAAACGGGTATAAATAATATGTTTTTATTTTAGTTTTTATTTCTATGAATGTCAATAAAATTTTATTTGTCGGGTAAAAATCTTGAAAATTTAATACGATGCTCTTAATATATTGTTACAATGATATTTAAAAACTATTAAAAATCCATAGTCACAATTCTTTTTTATAAGCATTTAAAGTTCAAATATTGACAAAATACGTAAAAATGACGAAAATGTGAAAATTATTTTGAGCTAGAAATTCATAAATATTTTTTTTTTTTAATCTAAGATTTGAAAATGTAATACAAGATTCTTCATAAGTTTGTCTAATCGTCTACCTTTATCAAAAAAAAAAATGTCCACAAGAAAGTCAAATTAAATTTTTATGAGCGTTTGAAGTTAATATTTTTACAACATTGGATATTCTCTCGATTTCTCATGTAGCGATTTTATTATTTTGTTGTAATTCAATTACGATAATAGGTAACTGCAGTAAATACATGAGAATTTCACTGAATGTTTATATTTTCATTTTCTATACACCATAAAACATCAAAAAATGTTTGAGTCATTTCGAGCTGTTAGTGGACAATTGTAATTTCAATTGTTTTAGTTTTTTTTTTCTATAAATATCCATAAAATTGTATTTGTTGGGTCACAAAGCGTGAAAATTTAATACAAGGCTTCTGATATATTGTTACTAGGTACCTATACTAGCCAATTACCAGGTTACAAATATTGAAAATACAAAGGCACAATTTTTTTTTATAATCATTGAAAGTTCAATGTTTAAAAACATTCACAAAATTTAAAAATGTATAATAATATGTACAATGTACAACTTTTAAGGATTGAAAACTTACAAGGTTCCGCGCGTAAGCAGGTTATTCTGTCACCAAAATATAAAAATACCTACAGTTTTTTTTATAGTTATTTTATGTTCAAATTTAGAGGAAATTACATATAAAATAACCAAGAATATACCTAACGATTTTAGTTATTTTGATGTAGGTAATTTAAAATTTTATAATAGTCAACTCACCGGCTTCTGTATAAATAATAAGTATAATAACAATATAAATAATAAATATGATGTAAAATATAGGTACCTACACACTGACAATTGACAAACCGTCGTTTTTCGTATGCAATGATATATGTATATCATTGAATTCAAAATGTAATACCATCCATTATACACTGACCCAATTGTAACCTACCGTACATCACAACGACATCCACTTAGCCACCTTTTTTGTTTGTTTTTTTCTGACGCTTTTGAAAACTACAGGGAATTTTTCATTTTTATCTCTCGGGGCTCGAATGTACAACCTAACTTGATTTACTTTCTCACCAGAAAAGTCATTGAAGTTTAAAATAGAAGCATTATTTCGACTAATTATTTCGCAGTGAGTAACTACACAGATACAATAAAAAACCCACAGAACTGTAAAATCAAAACTAGATTGGTTGTGAAATTACCGTTTAATTCTATGATGAAATAAAAATTTCTATAAAATACTGTACTTATAAACTTGATAGTTTATTTTGACTATATTAAATATTTATTTCTCTTTTTAGGCTATTTTTAAAAATTTGATATTAAAAAAAAAAAATGTTCATGAACGTCGATAATACATTTTTCACTGGGTCAATAAGCTTGAAAATTGAATACCTACAAATGCCTCATAAAGCTAAATTTTGCAATCGGCATTCTGTACCTATTTGTAGTCTATAAATTATAATATTCGTCAACACTTAATAGTGCGTTTTGTCGATGAGCTAAAATGGAAAACAACAAACAAAACGCTTTATCGGGGCCAGACAAGACTGATTGTTAGAACCGATTAAAAACCGTCAGGAGGACACCGAAATTTGCTGCGGTCGACGGTTGCAGACTGAAAAAAGTGTAAAACACACGTTTATATTTTTCCGATCATACTGACCTAATTTTATATTTTTATATTAATTTTTAATTTTTCTACGCACGATTTAATATAAGTTGGTATTAGAGGAATATTTTTTAAAAATTATCTAATATACAAAAATATTAAACGCCGCCCTAAGCGTGGGCCTATATCGACGGGCCTGCCTACAATTTTCCTCATATTGAGTTGTAGTTATTTAAAATTATTAAAGATACCTACATAAGTAGACACAATTTATTTTATAAGAATTTAAATTTTTCAAATGTTCACAATATATACCTTCCGTAAAAAGTTACATACCTTCCAAAAAAATTTACGGATGTTTACCATTTTTATATAGGTAGTAGGTACTTACTGATTAATAACAATTTATTAAACTAACATTAATTACTTAATTTATTGCTGATGAATGATGATCATCATTGTCAAGTATATTTTAATACGTTGTATATTATGCTGTGTAAGTGGAAACTTAAAAATTAAAATACATTTTCATGTTGTGTTTTAATGGACCGCCACCAGTCTTTATTTCTTATTTATAGTTGGCGCCTGGCGGTCTAACAAATCTGTTGCTTAACATAATCTAATGAATATCTAAAAGTAATTTATTGAGGGGCGGTGGATATTTACCAGTACCTATGATAGCTATTGAGCTATTATAGTATTATACGACGACTGCGACTGTTATAATATGTTTTGACTTATGTATCTTAATAACTTAAGTCATAGGTACCTACTACCTAGTAACTAGGTACTTTCCCGTAATAAAATTAAATAAAAATATATAACATACGTATATAATAATAGGTAGGTATGTATAAGTAGAATAGTTACCTATGTATAATAATAGGTTTTAAAACTTGGACATGTTGAATGTTCTGAGGTAGGTATATAGGTAACTATAATATAGTACCACTGTACCTGGTAATAGTATTTTAAGTCTAATAATAGCCAATAGGTGCATGATGATCGCCAATTGGAATCATAATTATTGCTAAAACCTAAAATACTTCCTACATAGGACCTATAGATATCAGGGACAGAGCCAGGGGAGGCTTAGAGGCCCAGCCCCCACATACATATTATTTCTTCAATTTTATTTATAATAATTATGAATTCTATATATATCTTGATATAACTTTGGATTTTTTTATTTAATATATAATCAATAATTTATTTATTACATTAAGATTATCTATACTACTATTGTGGAAAACATGTTAAATTAAAAATAAAGTGTACAATGTAATTGTCTTTGTGTGGCAAAAACATTGTTGCCCCCCCCCCCACAGATCGTTGCTCTGGATCCGTGCCTGATAGATATAAAACCCTTGTTAAAAATGAGAAAATATAAAACATTTTCAGTTTGACAATAAATTACAGAAGCTAATTTTAAATGGAATTTAAGCATTAGCCAATATAAATTGGTAGCACAATAAATTATTTCAAAACCTAATAAATGTTTTAATATTTGCCAATATAAAACAATTTTAATTGTTAGTGTGCCAGAAAGAACTTGCAATTTTTATCTAGTAAATGTACCAAATAGTAACTATGTTATTAAATAAGATAATTTATTGTCCAAAAAACATTTATAAATGTTTAAATGTTTAATTGATGATAATAATAATAATATTAACAATAACCATAATATTTAACAACTTGGCCCATTTCGTATTTTTCGTATATTGGTGGAAGTTGCAGAAAATTATTTTATTTTTACTATACATATGACAATATTAAGGTTTTAAATTTGGAGAAACTGAATTCATAAATGTACAAATCGTTATAGGAAGATTTGGAAGATAAATAAAAGTAAAAAGCAGTCAGGGGAATTAGTTAAACATATCCTATTTACTAGTTGACAGTTGATTTGAATATTATGTAAGATTAACAATTCATTTTTTATTGATCTTAAGCATCTTTAATTATGGCTATTAGCATTTTATAGGGGGGAGGTAATGGTTACTGTTGTACGAGGAACCATAGGCGTAATTAGACTTACAGTAAGGGGGGGGGCTTCAGGCTTAGCTTTTGTTATAATAGTATAAATAAATAGATTATTGTAGTTAGGTAGTTGCAAATTCACGTGTTTATAATGTCTTATTAGTGTAAGGGAAAGTTAAGCAATTGAGATGGAAACATATTAAACAAGACAGTATCCAGTCATCAAGCCTCCGCGCCAGTTTTGTCAATATCTTCTTTATTTAGAATTGTCATACACAGAGTCATCACATGCAAATGAAATTATATTATATAGTTTATATTTAAGAAATAAAACGATATTTTAAAATTAAAATTTATAATTATAGCTATCGTTGGTGGGAGTATAGGATTTAAGACGGGGGGGGGGGGCTAAAATGAAATTAGTAGGCTTAGGTTAAGTAGGTTTTTCGAAAAAATTCAAGACTAAAGACTAAAAAATAATATGGTATTCACAATTTAAATTTTATTTTATAACTTAATATTTAATAGAAAAGTACACAGTTGAGTAGTGACCTTTGACATTTTTCTTCATATTTAACAACTAATTGATCTATATCGTTGTCAAGATCTTCACTTCTAGACAACTGAAATGGAAATAAATTTACATTAATATGTAATAGATATTTAGATAAAATTATCTTACCAAAGTAACAAATTCACAAATTAAAAATGCTCCAAGCGTTGCGTCTTCATGATTTGTCTTGAATGTTCTATGTTAATAACATGAACTGGTTTATTACCAAAACTTTGAACAGCTTCAAAATCTAAACATATAAAAATGATTTGATTTAAATTTTTTATAATAATGATGAAATTGTCAATTTAAACATACATTCAAGTACTTGATCATATACTCTCTCTTCACATGTAATGACTACAGTAAATTGTTCATTGCATTCTTGAAATCTTTCTGGATGCTGCTTTATCCGCCGATTTCTATCCAGCATATTCAACAAACCATTTTGCGTGTAACTTAATACAACATTTTGTTAAGAAAAAAATTACAAAAACAATTACGAGTTTCTCAACAAAATAATAATATATTTATTAAATAATATTGATATATAATTATATATATCCATATATAATTTATATATATAAATTATTTTAAATCATTTATAACTTATAATTTATTATATGTATTACAATAAATAAAACATTAATTAATGAAGATTTAAAAGTTAAACTGAAGAACAATGGGTATTAAAGGAGCACATAACACAAAACCCAAGTTTTTTTAATTTGAAAGAATATTCAATTCAAAGAATAATGGTATTGGTTTTAAGTTTTACTCACATTATTCAATAAGTTATGACTTATGAGCAATTGAAAAAAGACGCTTGACGTCATTGGGCCCATAATATTTGCCTATCTTATTCGTGTAAAAGTTCTTTGCTTAACACAACGATTTACAAACCTAAAAATTTTATTTTTGAAATTTAATTTACATATATAAATGTGTGGTTTTATGAGTTTAAGACGATAAAAGTATTAGAATTTCAATATATAGTTCAGTTTTTTAAATATTAAAAATCCTAAGAGATATTTTTGAATTTTTATTTTATATTTAAATATTTAAATGGCCATGAAGCGCCGTTTAACAAAAATATCGTTTATAAGATTTATTATTATTTAAAAAACTAAACGTTATATTGAAATTCTGATACTTTAATCAGCTTAAGCACATAAAATGACACATTTATATGTAAACTAAATTTCAAAAATAAAATGTTTAGATTAGAAAACCGTAGTGTGAAGCGAGGAACTTTTATACGTATTAGATCAATTACAATGAGCAGGGCCCAATGACGTTGCGTCTTTTCTACATTTCTTAATATCTCTTAAAGGAATAATTGTTTTTACATCAGATTTTCACCAAATTATAGCTACAATAATTTAACATTTAAATGTGTGCTCCTTTAATAGTTAAAAAATGTTTAAATTAACTCTTAGACGATCTTCTTCATGTTCAGAATAAAATACAAACTCTAGTTAAATGGTTAGTTAGTTAGTTTGAACTTTAAATTGTACTCAAACTTTTAAACTTAATTGTATTTAAATTATAATTGTTAAATGGCTTTTTTATAATATTGTTAAGACATTTTCAATAATTCAGTTTTTAAACAATTTTAACTGCATTTTCATTCAAAAACATCATAAATATTTTGCATTAAACTAAAATGATTACTGTGTTCAATGAATTATTATTGAATTTAAATTAAGTTTTAACAAATACATTACAGTTACCTAAAAAATGACAAAGGTTCACACAAAACAATAAAACCTACCATACTGCAGAGCAATTTCCTCAATTAATTTTTTAAGTTCATCAATTAAAAATTATATAACTTTATGGGTATAAAGTATTAACTATATATTTTATAATTTAAAAAGAAAAATATTATTTGATAATAAGGTTTAATATTTTTACACAGGGCTAGTTTGAATTTCTACAAAACGTTGGCTCAACCCATTCCTAGTATTACTTATTATTTTCTATTGAAATCAGTGGCGTAATTAGGCATTTGGTTTGGGGGGGGGGATATACGTGTTTAGAAAACATTAATGGTCATTACCAATACTTTGATCAAAATGTTAGCAGTAAAAAAAGTTTGGGGGGATCTATCCCCTAACCACCCCTAATTAAAATCAATTCAGTTATAAATCAATGCAATTAAAATCACTATATATCATATGAAATACATGATTGTACACAAAATTAATGTCTGCACTACTTAAAATTATTGCTCACTAAACATTACTTTGTTATTAAATAAAGTTATACAAAGTAGGTACAAAAAAGTAAAATACCATGAAATTATTTATTTAAAGGATACTATGTTTTGTCTTTATTGTACAGATCTTTATAAATGTCATCATAAGAACATCCAAATTCATATATATTTGGTTTTTCCTGCGCTGTTCCGGGTAACTTCACCTTGTCTCCAGTTCCAAATGATCGAACGTTGAAACCTTTTTTACTATATTCATAAACATAGATTAATTAAAAATACTTCATACCATAATGGCATGAGAACTATATATAAAATAAATAGTATAATAATATTATTACTATTATTTTTTTTGTATAATTAGTGACTATATTAGTAGGATCTTATATTGCAAATCCCAATCAAATTAAATGTTTTATGATGATAAATGACAACATGCCAGAATTCAATGTTCAATTTTTTCATAGGTAATAAATTTTAAATAACTTCAATTTCCCAAAATCAAAAATATATTCAAATTAAATGAAAATGTTAAAACCATACATATCTTTAAAATGAAATTTATAAGCTAGGACTTCACAGTTAAAAAAAAAAAAATTATGTTTAATTTAAGTTATTTTTTAATTAGCAACGACAATTTATAATATGTTTGTCTAAGAATGACCATCCAAAAAGAGTAAAACAGAGCGTTTACTTCAATTTAAATGTATGAAAAAATATTTTACAACAATACTAACGAGTTTTGATAGAAGAAAATAATAAATAGAATATTCATAATAATATAAATAACTTTTCATTATCTACCTTAAAAAAGCATGTGCTTCCATACTTCGATTCATATTACTTGAACAAACCACAGCTATGGTAAAATCACTGTTCGCCATGGTAACAAATTTCAACGTACACAGCAATGGAGTATGCTACTAGAAAATAAAAACATTTTTATTTTATATTTAAACAGTTAGTTATAAAAAATATTATTAGATACCTTCCTTATTAATATAGTCTGAATGTATTGAATGATAAAGAAAATTGTTATACGTTAAATACTCTTCAGACAATTCAGTCTTCTAAAATATAAAACGTATAAGTGAGTCATATACGTAAAAACAAAATAAGAAGTTAAATATCATATAATAGGTAGGTGTAAAAAAATTAAACTTTTCAAATAAAACAATAACAAATTTTTTAATATACTTATTATACGAGTACATAAACAAATTATTTTGAAAATTGGTGATAAAGTAACCAAAATTATAACTGATATGCATAGATATAATAATATCTATGCTGATATGAGCTCATGAATATAATCACGGAATGTTTATGATAACACTTATCATTGCAATTCGGCTGGCCGGCGAGAGGAAAAATGTGTAAGCTCGTGGGGAAAAAATGTTCTGTTATTAATTTATTATAGTACTCTTTAATATTATTTCTATATTTACAATTTATATAAGTTTAATTTGCTTTTATTGAGCATTAGATAATAAATATGTATAAAGAATGTTGTACGATCTTTATTAAATGTTGAAAAATTATATAACTTAAATTAAAGAACAGACAGCAGTTAGCATGTATACTGTAACCAAATATCTAACGCGTTTTCATTCTGTTAGACGTTTTTATTCCGATGATACAACACGATTAAAGAAATCTATATTCTTGCCAGTCACAAAATTTAAAAATCGGTTGAATGCAGATCAAACTATTCAAAGAGATAGCCATATTTTTAAGGTATATCGTAAATAATTGATGTTCTAATACGTACTTACCTAGTATAAAATTATCATTGTTGTAGACGTGTGGATTTTCTGAACTATATTCTTGGCAAAGGCAACATGTTAACAGTGAAGAGTATATTTTACACGATGGACCGCCTTATGCTAATGGTTCAGCACATATGGGCCATGCCATAAACAAAGTAGTAACTTTATTTGCTGTATTTGATTTCTAAAATAATTATTTAATTGTTTTGTACAGATACTTAAGGATATTACTATACGTTCTAAACTAGTAAATGGAAAAAAAATTAGTTATATACCTGGATGGGATTGTCATGGTTTACCCATTGAATTAAAAGCTGAAAAGATTCACGGAAACAAATGGAAGAATTTTGGTCCATTAGAAATACGGAAAAGTGGTGGGAAATTATGACTTTACATTATTATGATCATTAAAAAAATGTCATAGGTTAATAATTAAAATTTTGAAAAATTTAATATAAATGTATAAATATTTTTCAGCTAGAAAATATGCTTCAAAAGAAATAGAAAAACAAAAAGCTGTTTTTAAATCATGGGGTATACTTGCTGATTGGGAAAACAATTGTTATTATACCTATGATAAAAAGTATGTCCAAAATCAAATTCAACAGTTCTTTAAACTATATAAAAAAGTAATTTTATACATTACATTTCTATGAAATTTTCAAAATACTAACAATCTATTATATTATATAGGGGTTAATTTATAGAGATCTCAAACCAGTTTACTGGTCACCTTCGTCCAAGTAATATTTTCTCAATTAGTCAGTACTTAACAATATTTATCTTACCTTAAAATTGTGTAGAAGTGCACTAGCTGAAGCAGAACTGGAATACAACCCTAATCACCAAAGTAAATCAGTCACTGTCAAACTTGAGCTATGCCCATCTACTCTTTCAATAGATTTAAGTAATCATAACAGTGAACCGATTTATGCACTTATTTGGACTACTACACCATGGACATTACCAGGAAATATTGCTGTTGTGTACTCGCCTAATTTACTATACTCTTTTGTAAAAATTCAAAATACCCTTGGTGTATATTTGTTAGCAACTGAATTAGTTGACAATTTAAGTGCCAAAATAGAAAAACCAATTGAAATAATCACAACAGTTAAAGGTATGTGCCATAAATTAATTATTTATTAATTTTTATAAACATTTATAGAATAGCTTTATAGGCCATAATCTCAGTGGTTTGAAATATAAAAGTTTAAGAAATGGTGAAAGTGATAAACAATTTTTGGAAGGTGACCATGTCACCATAGACAAAGGTACAGGTTTAGTTCATACAGCACCGGCATATGGACATGAAGATTTTTTAATTGCATTAAAACATAAAGTACCCATTGTGAGAACTCAAAATTATTTTATAACTTAAATTTTTTAATTTGTATTAATTAGTAATTACATTTTTTTTAGGAATGCCACGTAGATGAGCATGGTATTTTTATGCCACAAACATGGTCAGAACTTGTAGGTTTACCCGTTTTGGACATTGGAAATGAAACTGTGTGTTCATTGTTGAGCGATAAAATATTGCATACAGAAATTTATGAACATAGTTATCCTTATGATTGGCGCACCAAATTGCCTGTGATTGTTCGTGCTAGTAAACAATGGTTTTTGGATACAGCAGCGATTAAAAGCCAATCTATTGTAAATATTTATATTCATCTTATACAAATTAGTAATTACCAACAAAGTATTTGTTTAATTTGCTAAGTACTAAATATGCTTATGATTTGTATCGTAATATAATATTTTTAAATAATTTTTTTTTAATAAAATTGTCAATGGAATAGTATCACAATACCTCAAAAGTCCAGTATAGTATTCCTAGATTAAACTTATGTGAGCAATAAACATGGTTTAAGTTTAAAAACTTAATAAATTGTAAATTTAGGTAAATAAATTGTTGATAGTAGATAACATATTAAACTGTTAACTGATACTTAAAATAAATTAACAAATAATAATAATGTTTTTGTGTTAATATTTCAAATTGAAAATCTAAAAATATTAGGTATACCTATATTTAAATTTTGTTTTTATTATTCAACTAACCGTTATTTCTGAAATTAAAAACCCTAAATTAATGTATATTGCCTATTTATTTTAGAGTATTATAAATGTATTTTATATCTTTTCATAATGTAAGGAATGTTTGAAAGACATTAAAATTTATCCTGAAATTGGCGGAAGTCGTAATGCTCTTTTAACACTGATTGAAAAACGACCATATTGGTGTATATCCAGACAACGTTCATGGGGTGTACCCATACCTGTATTATACGACGAATCAGACAGTACAATAATAGATGAGTAAATATTTACATTTTTAATTTTTAATTAAATTTATACATTTTATTATCTTTTGCCAGAAAATTGTTAGACCAATATTATGCACTGTTAGAAGAAACAGGACAAGACTTTTGGTGGATTCATGATGTTCAAAAGCTGGTTTCAAACACACCGCACAGTCCGGAAAAATTAAAAAAAGGACTTGTATGTTCATACCTATAATTTTTTTTAAAAGATTTTTATATATTTTATATTATTATTGCTTAACAGGATATTTTAGATATCTGGTTCGATAGTGGAATTTCGTGGAGCTCTGTATTAGGCGATAACAAAATTGCTGATTTGTACTTGGAAGGTGTGGATCAATGCACTGGTTGGTTTCAGGCATCTCTTATGTCATCAATTGCCCTTAGAAATGTTTCACCATTTAAGTAATAAAATATTTTGTACATACATTTTCCTTTTAAGCTTAATATTTGATATTTATTCAAGCATTTTTTTAGATCTTTGTTTGTACACGGTTTTGTTGTGGATAAAAATGGTAGAAAAATGTCTAAATCTATTGGGAATGTAATTGATCCTCAAGACATAGTAAATGGAAATTATGACAAATCAATTCATGGAATTGACGTACTCAGGTAGACTTGATAAAACTATGGATTAATTTATGAATATCTCTTTATACTTGTCTGTACAACATTATTAGATGGTGGGTTGCTAAACATGGATCACACCAAACAAATATTCCAGTTACGAAAGAAACCATGACTGATAGCAAACAATCAGTGGATAAACTTCGTCTTATTATACGTTTTTTACTTGGCTCGCTTAATAATGTCAAAGAAAATAATTTTATGCATGGTACTAATCATCTAAGATATTTAGATAAATATATGATGTTGGAACTCATAAAATTTGAAGATGAAACAAATAAACTATATAATACATTTCAATATAATAAAGTATGTGCTAAACTATTACACTTTATTACAAATCAAGTTTCTGGATTATATGTACATCACATAAAAGATAGGTATAGTTAAAAAAAAAAACAAGTCTAAAATAATTTCAACTGCAATCATTAAACTAACTATTATTTAGGCTCTATTGTGATCCTATAGAATCAAATGATCGACTTGCATGTACAGCTACATTACAAGCCATATTAGAAACTCTTCTCAAACATATAGCACCGATTTTACCTCATTTAGCTGAAGAAGCATTTTCCTACTATCCACTGAGAAGTATTTTAAAATCGTATTTAATGGTTATTAAGAAATATTAATTTTATAAATTCCAACTATTTTAGGAAACACCGCATTTTTTAAATCGTCTATCATGAATCTTAATCAAATAGTCATTCCAGATTCAGAACAAGTAATATCAATTATGGAAAATGCTTTAATGGTTAAAAATAAAGTATCAAATTTATTACAAGGGAAAAATTCACTCGAACAATCTCTAGTGGTTGCATTACCTGACAAGGCATTCAATTTATTAAAGGTAAAAATATTTAAATATATAAAAGAACTATTATTTGAAATCTTATCAGAAATAAAAATTAGGAACTTGCTATATTGTATGCACTGAATGTAACTCGCCATGGTCCATGGAGTAGGTCATTGTTATTTATTTGTTAAATTTAAATTTAATAATAAATCATTGCATAATATGTAAAACAATTCTAAGAAAAGACCATCATCTATCAGCCTGTTTTTATTATATATTTAATTTATATTGCCATTACCTGATAATTTATTTTTCTATAATAAGTTGAATTAGCTTTGTTAAAAATATTGCATATATTATGAAGTAATTTATTATTATAATATTATATTATTATTAACTTATAAGTCAATAGAAACGGGGTTGGGCATATCATAGTTACATGTAATTAAGTTATGTAACTCGGTTACTTGTCTACCTTTATAAAAAAAAAAAAAATATCTACTGGAGAGTCAATTTAAATTTTTACAAACTTTTGAAGTTAGACATATATTTTTCCATAAATTAACTAGTTCTCATACAACAATTTTCTTATTGTTGTTATGCAATAACTAATAACTCCGGATACTATAAATTTACACGATATGTTTATTTTATCCATTTTTATACTTGATAATACTTTCAAAATATTTTGACTTTTCAAGTTGCTTATGGATATTTTCAATTTTTTTAGTTTTTTTTTTTTATAAATGTAAATTAAATTTTATTCATTTGAAAATATGGTCTATTCGGTCAAAATGCTTGAAAATTTGATAGGTGAAGGCACCTCACACATTGGTACAATACCAGTTTAAAACTATCAAAAGTACACGGTCTTATATTTGTTAATTTTGGTTTTTACAATCTGGCCACTTGATATTCAGTGGTTGTACGATTATATTTGGTACACTTTTTTTCATAACATAACGACCATAACATGATTTTACCTAGCCCTTGGCCGGTCAATAATTCTTTATACATTTACCAATGTAACTTAGTTACATATAACTGTAACTTGTATCTAGTTACTCAACATAAAAGTATCTAGTAACTTGTAACTTGAAATTAGTTACAATAAATTGAGTAACTTGGCCAACCCTGAATAGCAACATGCCAACATATTACATAACATAGTCCAGTGTAAATAGGTTTATGATATAGTTTAAAATTAATCTAAATATTTTAAAGTTCATTGTGTAAAGTAAACAATAATATTCATATTAGTGAAAATTTCAAGTCCATAAGATTATTCTATTTTGAATAATAATAAAATAACAAAAATTATTTGAAGATAAATCATTCAACTTTTAATATCTAATGTCGTCAAAATTTGAATTTCAAACGCTCATAAAAATTAGAGTGCAATTAACTTTTTTTATACATTTTAGTAAGGAAAAAAAACTTCAAAATCTAATATTATCAGAAGTTGACTATGTTATTAATGGAATTCCTGGGAGGTCATGGTCATCAAGTATTCATAACATGACATTTAACATAAATTCTTCGTTGAAGATTATAATATAAAATGAAGGCCAGTTATAATTAAATGTTATCCTGATTTCTTTGTATTAAAATGTTCTGCATTACTGATAAAATTTAGATAATTATGTTTTATTACAAAAAAATATGTTGGTAAATAAGTGATAAAAATTAATATATAATGAATTTATATTTTTCATTAGCGCATTACAATATATTATTATGATTTATGATTTTGTTTTAGATTTTACACCCTGAAAACAATACTAGAAAATCTGATTTAATTGAATTACTTCAAGTAAATTCAATTGAATTAATTCTTAATGATACAATTGATATTAAAACAAGTAACACGAAGGGAATATTATGCCAACGATGCCGTAGATGGTCAGCAGAAAAAAAAGATGATTTATGTAAACGGTGTGAAGAAACAGTTAATATTTTTTATTCATAATAGATGAGTAGATAATTTTAATGTAAGTCAATTACACGAGTACAATTAAAACTGTATTGAAAACTTCTAAAAATTGTGTATGTATTGTAAATTAGGCTTTTGATATCCTGAAACCTCTTGTGTCAGCTATCCAATTGTATGTAATAAGTCGCCCATCGACATTTGTAGTATATGAACCTCGTTGAACGAGAATAGCATCCTCTCCATTGTTGTTTGACAATAGTTTACCCATCTTCTCTTCTCCAGTACCATCATCCAACTTATATCTGTAAGATATTTAATTAAAAGTAAACTAAGCTTATTATTGTATAATATAAATTAAATATAAATTACTTTACCGTGATAAGAATTGACCAGAGTCATCTCTTTTATTTGTTAGAGACACTAACTCTACTGGGTTGCATTCAATTAAATTAAGGACAGTACAACCAATAACAAATACAAATACCTAAGAGATACAATAATTGCAACATTATTTTTGATTTTTATTAATTATATATAGTTTAAAAGTATAAATAAATTACTCACGAATTTCATTGTAATAGACATTAGTATCGAATTATGTGGAGCTGATTGTACAAGCTATTCAACCATAAGAAGACTGCAGTGTAGAATAAATTCCTTCTCACTACTTTTTATTTTATTTTTTTTGTGCCGTGTTTTGCTATTGCCTTGAAGATTAAACAATGAATTATGTTTCGGGGTGTCAAACTGGTTTTACTAATGTATTCTTAAATATACATATATTATATACGTACAAATGAGTATATATATACATATTGGGCAGTGTTCGCAGAACATCAATTATCGTTGGACAATTTGTATGTGACAGAATTAAACAGTTTTTAAATGTTTAAAAAATGTATAATGCAAAAGTAATCGGATATAAAGTTATATAAATTATAATGTCACATATTATAAGGTAGTATAAAGTTTTATTAACATTAACCTGTTCTACTACTTTTCTTACGACCTTACACTTGGTTATTTTAAGTTAATATTACATTAAATATAAGTTAGTGTTATTCTGTAATAATTGAATAATTATTTTAACTATAAAAAAATTTGTATAATTTTGATTATTTAACAAAAATATCACAATAAAAGTATCAAAATTTAATAATAAACTAATACGATTAAAATAAAATAAAACATTACACAATAATATTGATAAAATTTACTAGATAAATAAATATTTAAAATTAATTATATAATATAAGATTTCAAAAATTCATTTTAGTACATTGAGCAGATAAGATAATGTATAACAAAATACAAAAACATACATATTGTTTTATAAGTAATTTTAATAACAGGCCTTATTTTTTCCTTTTTAAAAATGTTACACATTTTAAAAAAAAATTTTTTTCAACTTAATCTAGCAATTTATTAATGTTTGTGTTAATCAGGTTGGTTTTTTTGTTTTCCATTTTAGTTAGAACTCAAAACTGATAATGAAATAAACAATATCTTGGAAACTATAAAATAACTGTATTAAATGCTAGTTATTGAAATTAAATATTAAATTTAAATGTAATGCTGAAAAATAATTTATATATACCTATTATATTACATGTAGTTTTGTTTTGTTGGTTAGACTTTACATTATAACTTGCTCAATTACTTAAATCACTTTAGTATAATTAGTTGGAACTTTAAATTATTCAATAATTTCAACATAATTGGCAGGAAACAGACCATATTGACCTTTGCATAATCCTCTCCACCAACCTTTGTCGATCTGAAAAATTGAAATATTATTATTATTTATTGAAAGAATATTTAAATTAGTATTTATATTAAATGCACCTTTAAGAGGGCGCTACACGGTCATGTGTTCTCCCTGCCTTACAAAGATATAACATAGCAAATTTTACTCTCAGCAGATTATGTTTAGCCCTGTTAGGTTATGAAGAGTGAATTATTATTATTATTATTATTATTATATAATTTAAAGATAAGATTATTATCTAGTGAACCTCATAGGTTGTTTTTTTTAGATTTTAATTTTAAAGCAAATTCTGAATATTTTAAAATGCACAAACGATTTCCAATTTTAAAATACATATAACTTGCTATAAAATTAAAATATTATAAAAACCCTACGAGAGTCACCAGATAATATTCTTACTTATACATTTTACAAGAGGTCAATTCACTCTTATTTTTAAACAAACAGAGCTAAACTTGATCTGTTGAGTTTACAATTTGCTATGTTAAGTGTTTGTAAGACAGAGATGCAGGTTTAGCTTAAACTATATTTGTTTGATTATATGTAAAAAACATACAATTAAAATGTAATTCAATTATAGGTGTGCCTGGGCACTTTTTGAACTTTTATATTTGGGGACCTAAAATGTATGTTCCAGAATCAGTATTTTGTCTAATATTACTAATTAAAATGTAATTTTTGCTAAAATATTATTATATGATATAAGTACCTTTATATTTTATTATTTAAACAAAATACAAACAGTATATTAAATTATTATACATACCTAAGTACTACAAAAATAGTTAATAATGGATTAATTAATAGTGATAAAATCTAATATTGATTAATATTCAGTTATTAAAGGCTAAGGTACCTATGTCATTAAAATATTATAATTGTTCTATTGTTGTATGTAAATAAACATCAACGCAATGATTCATTTAAGTTAATAGACTTATCAAGAGAGGGCCCAAAAATATAGTAGGCACCCCAAACCAGATCTGTGCACACCTATCAATTCAAATACATTAAATTATAATATAGTATACATTCAAGTTTTTACCATTTCAATGTTTGTTACAATATCATCAGGATCAAAACTTATTTCATCATCAGCCGCTAAAAAAAATATATAAATTACAATTTTATTTTAATCACTCAATCTAAATTATTATCTTATCAAATAAGGTATACCTTGTGTAAATTATTTATAAGTATGAAAGAAGAAATTTTAAATGAGTAGATTTAAATATAGTTGTTAACTATGCAGACATTTTTCGCTTTTTATTTAAGTAAATTTAACTAAACAAATAAAAACAGCTACTAGTGTGTTAGAGATTTTTAACCAAAGTATACTTTATAGAATAAAATCTACACTTACATGCTTGATAATCATATAAAGCCACAGCAATATATCCACCTTCTGGATCTTCTTCAGATACTGCTCCATTCTTAAGTTGCTCGTGCAGTTTTTGTTCCTCTAACTGTCTTTCTTCTTCAAGTCTCTTTTGCTCTTCTTTTTTCTTGGCCTCTTCTTCTAGTTTTTTCTTAGTCATCTCTTCTTCTAGTTTTTTCTTTGTTGACTCTTCTTCTAGTTTTTTCTTTGTTGACTCTTCTTCTAGTTTTTTCTTTGTTGACTCTTCTTCTAGTTTTCTTTTGATTGCTTCTTCTTCTAATTTATTTCTTGCTTCTTCTTCTAATTTATTTCTTGTTGCTTCTTCAGATTTTTTCTTATCTTCAATCATTTTTTCTTGCTCTTCTTTATTTTTTAATTCAACTCTAGCCAAATCTTCCATTTTTTTCTTCTCATTCTCCTTCTTTAATAATTCTTCATTCATTTTTTGCTGTTCTTCCTCCAATTTTACCCTCTCATGTTCTCTCTTTATTTCTTCATTTATTTTTTCCTCCTCCTTCTGCTTCTGTTTTAGTAAAATATTTTCTTTTTCAATTCTAGATTGTTCTTCTTTTCGTTTACGTTCTTCTTCGTCCGCAGCAATTCTTTTTAATGCTTCCTCGTCATTTTTCACGGATGGTTGAATTGTTGCACCAACAACAACAGGAGGACGAATAGATTCACTAGATATTGGTAGCTCTTCTTCATCAGAATCAATTTTCTAAAATCAATGTCAATTATCATAATTTTTATCAAATAATTAATAAATTCTAAAATAGCGCAAAACCTCATAAGCAAATTACTGAATAAACATAAATTGATAATTGTTATTATTTATTTTACATGGTGTAGAATCAATTAATGATTTATAATACTATTATATTATTTAGTTAAAACAAAAAAAAAATAATAATATGAAATAATCATTATTCATTATTGGTTTAATCATTCCTGTTTTTTGTTTATCCAGTATATTACATTAAAATACCATTACAGAATTTTGTATTTTTAAGTGTTGGAATAGCAACTCCCTGGATTAATGGGCATCCTACCTTAAACTTTTTGTATAAATAAATTTGTACTACAAGAAGCAATAATTGTATTTATAGTTTATTACTATTATATATCATCTGAATTAATAATAATTGGAAAACATATTAAAAGTAAAATTGTAATTATTGTTTAAATTATTAAAATTAATTTAAATCCTTACAATACAAGCCTAAAGGTGTGTAATAATTAAGGCTTGGAATTCAATGAATTTGCATTTTTTTTTTTTATGTGTTTCAAGTACTCCATGCTGTAACCACAATACTTTGTTGGGGCATAGTTTACATTTGTGTATGCATTTGTGCATTTGCGTTGTTCATACTTTATTTTTGACATTTTTTTTAAATTTTTGACCTATTTTTTGTATTATGACTAAAATGACTTCATTGAAATATAAACATAGTATTAAGTAATTTAAATCATTTTCCATTTGAACTATATAAAATTAGGCAATCTTCAGTTCAAATTTAATTATTGTTGTACACTGTAATACAAATTTAATTTTTTACTAATATTTTTATATTTATAAACGTACTTGCACAATTTTACTTGTTGAATGCATTTATTAAAAGGTCATTTTTTTAAATTTTTAAGGCAAGTTTTAGAATTTTTTATAGCAAATGGATTTTTTTGATACTTTTAGGACATTTAAAACCTAGCCCTAGTAATAATCAATGAAAAAAATCAGAGAAGTTGGTGTCACTCTAATGTACAATAGGTTATAAGTGGGTCATTGTATACGCAAATGATTCTGAGTGGAGATGGTATGTGACAAAGGTTAGGTTTTTCTCTCCCCCTGTTGGCCAAAAAGAGGGGAGGAATTTTATAAATGACCCTGGGGCATAATTTATAAATACGGCCCAGCGTCCTACAGTTTCAACCATGTAATAAATTATTGTCAGTTGGTCAGAGGAGAATAAGCCTCATAATATAGACGGTATTGACATTATATGCTGTGCCAGCATCGTTACATCACTGTAAGCCACCATCAGTATACCTACAATATTAACTCACGGCTCACTACTGAAAACTACATTACATAATGTACAAAAATCATCGTCTTGTATACAATTAAATTAAGTCAACTGGAGATGGTATTCCTATATAAAATGGTTTTAAATTTGGTATTTGGAATTTAAAATTTATAAATATTTAATAGCACTTAGTACTTACTGTAATTGGAGTGTTTTTGTTAACTTGTTCCGGACCATCAAGAAGTTTTTGTTTCTGTTCTTCTTTTTCTTGTAATTCTTTCAAACGTTTTTCTTCTCTCTCGCGAGCTTCTTTTTTTTCTTGTAATTCTCTTTGTTTTCTTTTTTCTTGTTCTAATAAACGCCGTTTTTCATTTTCTTCTTCTTCTTGCTTAGCCATATTTTCAAATTTTGCTCTAAG